CGTGCGTGCGTGAACTTTCCTCTGTTTGCCCGTGTGGTGGGGACCCTTGCTCGATGCAATGCTTTGTTCGTTTCTTCCCTTTTGCTGCACCAGTACACAAGCCCAACGCGCGTCTCAGCGCTAATCGCTCATATTGTTGATAGCCCAAGGAAAGGAGCAAACGCAAGGCACGGAGGGCATGGGAAGCTTAAGACGTGGAAAGGTAGGAAGATGACAAGCAAGGAGGATGATGAAAAGGAGGAAGGGAGACACAACATGACGTAACGTGTGGGAAGCGGGAAGATGCATATATGGGGGGGGGGGGTGCAGAGCAGCATGATGTCACTGCTGCTGCTGCTGCTGCTGCTGCGTCTATTTTGTGATGGTGAAGTGGTCGAGGACGGCGTTGTCGGCAGCAGCGTAGTAGGTCCAGTCCAGGCTGCTGTTGGCAATGCTCAGCGTCGCTGTTGAAATGTGTGTGCATGTGTGTGCATGAAGGATAGACGTAGGAGGAGGGCAAAGGAGCTCAACAGATAGGTGGACAGGTGGACGGACACACAAGACAGACAAGACATACAGACAGATATACACACACACACCCCTCCAACCCCAACTCCCCAAAAAACAAAACCGCAGTGGCGGTGCTCACCGTATCCGTATTGCTTGAGCGTAACACGGGCCCAGTCCTGCTTGCCGGGACCCATCAGATGCTCCTTGTTCTGTGCAACGTGTGCATTGTTACATCGCAGTGTGAATAGAGGCATGCATTTCGGGGTTCATGTGTAATGTGAGCCTGTGTTATGTGATGTGGTGTGGATGTTGAAACACGGGGCCCCAAGCATGTCAGTGATATGAAATATGCCTGCAGGCAACACATCCGCACACAGCGCTGCAAGCAACGCACCCCGGCTGCGCCGTTGACAATGTAGACGGGGGCTGGCGGCTTGTGGAACGAATCGCTCATCTTCTTCTGCTGATACACGGGATACGACGCCTGTGTGTGTGATTGTATGTGTGGTTGTGTGATGGTGTGTGATGGTGTGTGTGTGTGTGTGTGTGTGTGTGCGTGTGTATGTGAGCGAACGCTCATGTTAACCCAAACACACCAATCTGCTGTGTCACACACACACACACACACACACAAACACACACAAACACACACACACAAACACACACACACACACACACTCGAACGCGTGATACTTCCACCCCACTCCAAGCCCTCTCGCACCTGGTAGTTGTGGCGATGGGCCTGGATGACGACGTCGACGTTGTAGTTGAAAAACAGATCCTCAAGGCCCTCCCGCAGCGTCTCTGCATACTGCTTGCAGTCGCGGTTCTAAACACCGAACACCGAACGCAGGGCAGGTGCAGGTGGTGGTGGATGAGTGAGCGGCAGGCGCAAAAGGAGCTGTGAACTGCATACGGCTCACCCAACACCTTTCTACCATATATCACGCGACAACACACACACACACACACACACACACACACACACACACACACACACACACACAAACACACACACACACAAACACACACACACACACACAAACACACACACTCCACCTCCACCTCCAACATCTCCTCCGAGGTAGCTCACGCTCTCTGTGCAGTAGAGTGGGCGGTGGAGAACAACGACGATCCAGGGCGTGACGTGACGCGATGCATTGGCAGCTTGCAGGTCCTGGGGAAGAGGCAGTGCAGAGGAAACGTGGGGTAAATGTGAGGGAAATGTGAGGGAAATGTCAGGTAATGGCGGGGTTCGTGAGCGCAGTAGGCAACACACACGCGCACGCGCACACGCACGCACACACGCACACACATACACACACACGCACGCACACACACACACGCACGCACACACACGCACGCAGGCACGCAGGCACGCACACGCACACATCATATCACAGCAACAACACCACGGGCACCTGCTCGAGCCACTTGTACATGGGGTCGTCCTTCTTGACGGTGCGTGCGGCCAGACCAAACTCGCTCTCGGAGTTGACGGCAATGAAGTGCGCGCTGCCATAGTCAAAGCTGTATGTATGCGTGTGTGTGTGGTCGTGTGTGAGGCTGGAGATTAAGCTGCCCTCGTTGCCTTGTCAGCAGGAATGGCACACGCACACAATCACGCACACACTCACACACACAATCACTCACACACGCACGCACACAATCACGCACGCACACACACACACACACGCACACACACATACACTCACACACAAATATCACCCCACCACGCGACACCACGGACCTGTAATAGAGCGGGGACTGGGACTTGCTCTGCTTCCACGGCATGGCAAAGCGTGCCATGTACGGTTTGAAGTCATAGAAGCCTGCAAGGTGATGTTGGGGAAGAGAGTGGAGTGATTGGAAGGGGAGGTGGATGTGTGTTGTCGCGGAGGTGATGCGAGGTGGGACACAATTTGTGAACCCACATGTGAGTGTGAAGCAACAGAGAGCACACAGTACAAGCAGCACAATGCAAGGCAGTTACCCACACAGACACCACACACCACAACTTGCAACACAACGCAACAAACAACTACGCGTGTCACCTTCGTGGTTGCCTTGGACGGTCATGTACGGAACGAAACCAGCAATGCTCTCAATCTTGCGCACGTACGCGTCCCACAGGGTCTGGTACCCGTCGGCATACCTGCAGGGGTGGGTGGTGGTGGTGGTGGTGGTGATGATCGATGAGATGGAATGTGACCGTGTCAACATTCCACTGAACAGAGAACACGCTCCCTCATTCAACCACGCACATAGACACACAAACACACACGCACACATAGACACACACACACACACGCACACACCTAGACACACATACAAACACACACACACACACACACACAAACACACGCACACACAGCCCAACGAAGAAAAAAAACCAAACCACAGCATCTGCGACCCAAGGACGGACCCAATGTCGCCGTCGTGAAAGAGAAAGTCGATGCTCTTGTCCACCACGCGCTGGGTGATGTGCGCCAGGGACAGCATGCTCGCATCCGTCGCACCGGCATCGCCAATCATGGCAACCGTCAGCGGTGTGGTCGCGGCAGGCGCAGTGCTGTCGTCACAACATGCACACACATGTTGGCGGAGGGTGCGCAGTGTGATGACACGTGAGCATGGCTGGTGCAAGTTGCGATTTTGGAGGAAGACAGATGGCAGTGACAAGAATACAAGCCTCCCCAACACACACACATGCACGCACACACACATGCACACATGCACATACACATGCACACACACACACACATGCACGCACGCAAACCTCACACCGCACGATATGTACCGTGTTGTAAAGTGGAGGGAGGGCACCTGGCTCCATGCGGGCTTCATCCAGTAGTCCGGCGCAACCGTTGGGTCGCCGACGCGGTAGTAGTAGGTCGTCTTGGGCCGCAGACCCGTCATCGTCGCCGTATACAGCTGTCAGCATCGCCATAGTGGTGGTGGTGGTGGTGGTGGTGGTGGTGGTGGGGACAGTGGTGGTGAGGTCAAGGCGTGGGCTTGCTGGCAAGTGCTCACGTGGAAAACGCACACACAGGATGCATGCACACAAAATAAACGCACACACAAGATGTACGTACACAAGATGTACACACCCACACACTTGCAAACGCACATACACATACACATACACATACACACACACATACACGCTCACACTCACACACTCACACTCACGCACTCACTCTCACGCACACACGCACACACTTACAAACGCACGAGCAACTCAACCAAAGAAAACCAAATGCTAGCGTGTGTCTCACGTGGCCCTGCCAGCCGCCGGATGTGTAGGACGCGGTCGTTGCATTGGCCGTCATGTTGAGGTTGTCTGACGAGAGGCCGTATTGCACCACAGGGTGCGGGGTTGCCTGCAGTGCACATGCACGCGCACGCATGCAGTGAGGAGGAGCGAGGCGGGATGTGGATGTGCGGGATGTGGATGTGCGCATCCGAAGGACACGCAGTTTCGAGACGGGTCACTGACACGCTGGCTGTTTGATACATTCACGCGCATTACGCGCACATGACATGTACACCCACATCCACAACACACACACACACACATGTACACGCACACACACGCACACACACGCGCGTACACATACGCAGGCATCCACGCGTACACATACAAACACACCTTGAGGGTGGACCACATGACGACCATCTCCGAGATGTCGGTGGTGATGGAGAGATGGATCTGCTCCGGCAGATATGGGGTGGCGCAGCAGTCAATCTGGCACTGGCCAAGCATCGAGCACAGCGCAAACGGCGAGTACTGCAAGCGAGGGACGTGCGCATTTGAAGTGGGAGTAGACAGCCAGGCGGAAGTACGAGGGCAGCAGTGAGCCATCGTGAGCAGGAATGAGGAAAGCATTGCAGGAGCATGTGCAACGGGGAGGAACGGTGAGCTGCTGTGGTGCCATGGGTACCTTGGTGGTGATGGAGTCGTCTGCTTCGGCCAGCTTGGGTGCAAGGTGCTGCACTTCCTGCAGGCACTGCATACAGAGCAACGGACGTGGAGGATGAGGATCTTAGCGTGCGTTGACAAGGTGGGTCAGTGTGCAAGCACAACTCAAACGGAACAAGAGAATACAGCAGAATGCAAATGTGACAGCACAGCACACACACAGGTACACAGCACACACACAAACGCACGCACACACACACAAACGCACGCACACACACACACACACACGCACGCAAGCATACGCACGCACACACATACGCACGCATACACACACACACGCACACACGCACACACACAAGCACACCTTTTGCTTTGCATCGCCGGAGAGCAGCTTGCACACGTCATCGAGGGCCTTGATGATGTCCTGCACGGTGGAGTTTGCCTCGAGGAAGTTCTCCACGTCCACAATCGCGTCCTGGCACAGGCTGCACCCAATGCCGTCCTCGCCAGCTGATGGACGCAAAAGCAGAGTTTGTGTGAGGCACATCGTCAAAACAAACACAGCGCACACAAACGAACACACAACACAAAACAGCACAGCGCACACAGTCTCATCTCACTTCCACACACGCACTCCCATCCCCCACCACCACCACACACACACACCTTGAGCTGGCTGCACGACGCAGGCGGCTGCCACCAGTGCCACCATCGCAGCAAACGCAGTCATTCGAAGCCACGCCATTGTCCTCTGCTCCATCTTGGGTGTTGATTTTCGGTGGAAGATATTGGTGAATAGTCACTAAGGGGTGGGAACCAAAACACACAAACCACCAATACAGACCAGCACACAGCCAGCCAACAACGAACGAGCAAGATGGTGAGACGGTCGATGCATATGGGGGAGGGGGCGTGGGATGCCGATCTGTGTCTGTGTGCGTTTATGTGAGGTGTTGTGGCTCATGTGTGTGTGTGTGTGTGTGTGTGCGTATGCATGAAGGGTGCGAACTTTGCCTGCTCACGCCGCCCCTGCCATTGCTGCTGCTTGTCGTTCGTTGCCAGCCCAAGAGCCCTGTGCAGAAGCTTGTCGGCCTCCTCGAGAAGCTGGACAGCGGGAAAAAGGTATCCGTCGTCATAGTTGTGTGTGTGTGTGTGTGTGTGTGTGTGTGTGTGCGTGCGTGTATGTGTGTGCGTGTGTGTGTGTGTGTGTGTGTCTGTCTGTCTGTCTGTCTGTCTGTCTGTGTGCGTGTGTGTGTCTGTGCGTGTCTGTGTGTGCGTGTGTGTTTGTTTTTAAGACGTGAGGCGTTGCTTTCGCTTTCGGAGCGCTCATGTGCGTTGTTGCTGCCTGCCCTGCCGCACAGGCCCAGGATGAGTTCCTGAAATGCCTGTTGGAGATCAAGAAGTCCCTGATTGGCGGCCCTGGTACGGTTTCATCCTGTGTATTCTGCAGATGCATGACAACCCGCACACACGCATAACTCACACGCACGCACACACGCATACACACACACAACTTGCATCTCACGCGCTTGATGCTTTCTGCGTTCACGTCTCACTCTTGTTGGCGGTCTTGCTGTGCTGTGGAGAGCAGACTCGAAGGTGCCCGAAGAAGTGAGCAAGCAGCTTGCCAAGGACATCAACGCCAACCACGTCCTGTATCTGCTTGTGCTCCACATGCCCAGCATGGACTTTGAGGTGCGGGATGTGACTGTGTGTGTGTCTGTGTCTGTGTCGTGTTCTCGTGTGTCTGTGTCTGTGTGTGTGCATTTGTGGTTTGTATGTGTGTCTGTCTCTGTCTGTCTGTGCATGCGTGGCGTGTGTGTGTGTGCATGTGTGGCTTGTGTGCTCATATGCGTGCTCTGCCCTACTCACTCATGTGTCTTGACGACCTTTTGTCTTACCAGGCGAAGAAGGTTGCGGTGCAGATCTTCAACAAGATGGTGTCGCTCAACATCAACGACACGTATCCAACCGTGGACTACATCCTCAACGAAAAGTCTGAGATCCTCACCCTCCTTTGCAACGGGTAGGTCGCGTGCACGGGTGTGTGTGTGTGTGTGTGTGTGTGTGTGTGTGTGTGTGTGTGTGTGTGTGTGTGTGTGACGCCAACGCCCCTGACAAATGTCTCATCCACCATGCCCTCG